AGAGCCCCATTGGGTCTATCGGCAAAGGATTGCTGGGAATTAGCAAGCTTAATTCAACTGGAAGTTGGATTCAGTTTCTTGTGACTGTTACAAGGTAATAGCAACTTAAGGAAGGAAGGAATGGTTCCTTTGGCTCACAGTTCAGGGAAACATAGTCCATCAAGACAGGGGAGCCATGGTGGTGAGGGCTGGAAGCAGATGATCACGTTGTGTCCACAGCCAAGAAGCAGAGAGTAATGAACGCGGCTGCTTATCTCATGCTCTCCTTTTTGTAGCTGGAGAATTTTCTCTCCGGGTCCCACCAAGCCCCGGCCATCCAACAGCCCACTCATAAAATAAACACACAGATGCTTATATTATTTAAACTGTTTGGCCTAATGGCTCAGGCTGCTAGCTATCTAGTTCTTACATCTTAAATTAACTAATTTCTATAAATCTATACCTTGCCACGTGGCTCATGGCTTACCAGCATCTTCACATGCTGCTTGTCATGGTGGCGGCTGGCAGTGTCTCCCTCCGCCTTCCTGTTCTCTCAATTCTCCTTTCTGTTAGTCCCGCCTATACTTCCTGCCTGGCCACTGGCCAATCAGTGTTTTATTTATTAACCAATCAGAGCAACACATTTGCCATACAGATCATCCCATAGCACCATTTCCCTTAGTCTGAGACTCCAGCCCTTGAATCTGTGTTATTTACATTTAGGGTAAGTCTTTGTACCTCCATTAACTGGATCTAGAAAGCCCCTCACAGACATGCCCAATGGCTCTTCCCTCCCCCTGGCCCCATACCATGCCACCCCCCAGATGAGTCTGGATCCCTCGAGCTGCAGTGAGTATTAACCATCACAGCATCTAAGAGGCAGGTGCACCTTCTCCGTTCCACTACCCCACTTGATAACTGGATGCTGGAAGGGAGGAGTCCTTGATCATTGCAAGGAAGAACAATGTCTACCAACTAGGAGAGCCACGTACGCTAAAGGACTTTTCCATAGCAGGTACCATAATCCTAACCGTGACATTTGATTACACTTGGGGTAGTGACACCTGCTGCAAGGGAATAAATATCTCAGATACACTGTATATGGTGTTCCAAACAAACCAGAAGGTTTCTTCAAGAAAGACCCTTGGATAAGTTAGAAGGAAAGAGTTTGGGGCACAGGGTTGCCCAGGGAATGTGGCCTGGGAAATGAAGCTAATTTGTGTGCATCTCCATAGACCTCAGCTCACACTTATTTGGCTTTTTTTTTCCTGTTGCTCTTGGTAGCAGGGTCCACTGCTTTGAATTTCAAAGCCAGATTAATGGCCAGGAGTACAGAAGGTCTCTCTCTCTCTCTCTCTCTCTCTCTCTCTCTCTCTCTCTCTCTCTCTTTCTCTCTCTCTCTCTCTCTCCTCTCTCCTCATCTCTCCAATGATATTTGGCATCATATCCTACTACAAATACTTGTATGAAATAATGTTGGCATGAAGTGATTCAGTATACCTCATGAATCTGTTTCTGTTTTTCATTTTATGAGTCAGTTCCTTAATATGAGACTCATAAAAAACACAGAGAAATTCTATCTTAAGAAGAAATATAACTGACTCTTCTCTCTACTCATCCCTCTGCCTTAAGTACTCAGGGATTGGATCCCAGAGGGCTCCATAGTGTCTCTTAGCTTCCAACGTTGAGCTCGTCCCATTAGCTGTGCCTTTTGTCGCCTGGTTTTATGAATTGCAATTTATGGGACCCCCTCTCTTTACGCTTTGTGAGCTATTTCCATTTAGTAAATTAATTTTGCAGCAAATTAATTTGACTCACACTATAAGGCAATACATTACTGTTCCAGAGGTTTTCAGAGGGAATGGATGTCACACACCCATGGGCTAAAGGACAGGGACATAGGGCAGGACAAAGCTTCAATTCTGACTTGCTTCAGAGAATCCCTTCACTGGCTACAGATGAGATGGCACATTTGTAGGCAGCTGTATCATATGGATTCTCCCTTCAGTGACTGGGGACACAGGGAGTCAAACATGCAGAAGGTCCAACAGCGCTTTGAGTTCTTTCCAATGTCTGAATGTGTTGTCAAGGTCAATGGGAGAGGCTCTGGTTCCTAAGATGGCCTTCTGACTGCCCTGGCCAGCATCAGTGGGTGACCCCTTCACTGTCCTACCCCCTTTCTACAGTGGTCCATTAGAAGCTGGTAGGAGGCAGAAGTTTTCTTCCAGGTGGTGTCCTAGGACGTTCTTCTTTATGTGCATTCTTTTGCTCTTTGTGTTTGTCAGCTTTTTATGACAGTGAAATATCTGATCAAAAAGACTTAGGGAAGATTGACTTCTGTCTCTTCATGGTTTCAGCCCATGGGTTACTGACTCCATTGTTTTGGGGCCTGTGGAGAGGCAGAATATCATGGTGGTGATGGAGAGCCGCTGGCCTCATGATGGCCTCGAAGGAGGGAGGATGCTGGGAGGCCCTGATGGTCAGAGGTCGCAGTCTACCGTGGCCTGGCAGCTTTTTCTGAGCTCGGCAACATGGATGACTCCCGCCCCTTGGTAGAAAGCATTCTGTACTCTACCTGACCTTATTTGGAGCCGATTTGGAGCCAGTAGGTCTCTAAACCTGGATGCCTGACTTATCTCTAGTGTGACCCTGGAAGCAGGTCCCTGCATAAGCTTTTCCCCCTACTGCCCATGGTAACTAGACACTGTGCTTCCACAGATGATAACTGAGACGTGTACTAGGAGCCTTATGATAGGAGCATGCCGTTTAATGCAAATTAGGTGATTCCCCATCTACTGTCCCCAATCCTATGTATCCCTTACACTCTGGAGTAAAGCTGAGCTGATTCACTGAAGTCATATCCCAGAGGGCTATCTCCATCTTACTCACAGGCTGGATAAGGCCCTGCTTGCTGCTTCTGCCCCCTTTGCCCCTGTGGCCCTGTGGCCAATGGACTGTGGGGGATGAGGGGACCCACAGGAGGGAACATAGAAAGAGAATTCTTAAAGAATATTTTTTTAATGTACATGGGTGTTTGCCTTACATGTATGTCTGTACATCCTGTCCATGCAGTGCCTGAGGAGCCAGAAGAGGGCATCAGTCCTGTAGGGACTGGGGTTATATACGGTTGTGAGCCACTGTGTGGGTTCTGGGAACCAAATGGAGAGAGAGAGAATATGTATTTTCACAAAGCCCCCTTTCCAAGCCCATTAATTTATGAATCCACAAATGGGCTCCTCCCTTGATGGGGTCAAAGCTCCATGATCATCACTCCTGTGGGGACCAGTCCTTTAATACATGAGATTTGGGAGACATTTCATATACAACATCGTCTTCTGTCAAGCACTTTGACAGCTCTAGGCCTTTCTGCCTGTCATTTTTCTCCAGCCTGTGTTTTCTATCTTGGATGTATCTTTGAGTGCCATTCAGGCCTGGGGTCCACCTTGCTCTTTCTCATCCTTGCCTCCCTGTCAGTCCACTTGAGCGTTTTCTAAACATTGGAAAATCGGTTCCTGTCATGTGGTCCAAACACTATGGGAGAATCAAGGAGTCCTCTTTATGGTTGAAGTCAACGGTGTGCAGATAGTTTCATGATGAAAGCCAGTGAACTGACAGGATTTTTGGCGTGTGTTATTATGTCTCGTTGTAAATGACTCGTCTGTTAAGAGCGCTTGTTCTTGCAGAGGACCTGGTTCTGGTTCCCAGCAACCAAGTGATGACTAACAATCATCTGTAGCTCCAGTTCCAGGGACTCTTATGTCATCTTCTGACCTCTGAGGGTACAATGTGGTGTAGGGAGAAACAGACAGGCAAAACAACCGCAGACATAAAATCTAACAAGAAAACGGTCCCAGGTTCTAACTGCACACTCAGTCACATACTCGTGATGTCAGCAGGTCCTGGCAGTTGGAAGGACATAGAATACAGAAAAACGATGCTTCTTCTCTGGAAATGGGTCTAAAGAACAGGCCTCACATCATCTCTACTGGCTTCCTACTGACAGTTCAGACCCCAGCCATCAGCTCCTATTTTGCAAATGACTTCTACAAGCTCCTCTTTCAAATTGAGTAATCCTAGGACTCTTGAGTGTTAATCCCAACTTGGTCCTCATGCCAGGAGAGCAGATATCCCAGAGAAGGTCCCCCAAACACCTGAGTGTGTGGCTCCCGCCTCCTTGGGTTATTGCTGGTCATTGTCTTCTTGGTCTACAAGGGGTCCTGAAGTAGGGATCAAGGGCTTTGAGTAAAACAAGTGGGAAACCAGTGTGAGTGTTGCTGCTGAGAGAAAAACCTCTGGCATTCCAGCCTTGGCCCCAAAGCCCCCACTTGTGCCTAGAGAGGCCCCTGTGGATTCTTTGGGTGCCTGCTGGATTCAGTGGTGGTTTTCTCGGAGATTCTGCATTCTCAATCTGTGGACCATTGTGACATCCTCCCTCCTTCCAGCCATGGGAACTCTGTGACCCTCCTGGCCATGGGTGGTACTTCTGCTGTCTGTCACCGGTGAGCTCTCAGGGTGTGCTTGTGACTTCCTGAGTAGATGTTGTGTCAGGAGAGGAGAAGTGTTCTCCCCTGAATCACACTCCAGTCCTGGCCAGCTAAGCCAGAAGAAGTAGAAAAGGCTGTGGTGATATTGTGTTCCCCAATATATTGTGAACACTAATAAACTTATCTGGGGTCAGAGAAGAGAACAGCCACTAGATATAAAGGCCAGAAAATGGTGGCACTCACACTTTTAATCCTAGCATTCAGACAGAAGGCAGAGATCTGTCTGGGTCTCTGTGAGTTCAAAGCCACACTGGAAACAGCCAGGCATGGTGGCACACGCCTTTAATCCCAGGAAGTGATGGCAGAAAGAAGAAAGGTATACAAGGCATGAAAACTTTTAGCAGCAGTTCAGCTGAGATCCATTTGGATGAGGACTCAGAGGCTTCCTTCCAGTCTGAAGAAACAGGATCAGCTGAGAAATTGTCGAGGTGAGGTTAGCTGTGGTTGGTTCTGTCTCTCTGATCTTTCAGAATTTACCCCAATACCTGGTTCCCAATTTTGCTTTTATTAATAAGATCTTTTAAGATTCATGCTACAAAAGGCTCTTTCTTAAAACAAGTTATTAGCATATATCAATTTTGCACACATATAGTTCCAAATATGTGCACAATGCACTCTAATCACTTGATGAAGTACTTTTTCCACAGAGTACTCTTCCTGTCTGCCGTTTCCACCTTCCCCTGCTCCTCCCTTCTTGGTACCCTCTGAGTAGATGGCTGGGGAAGACCTGAATGAAATATAATTCTATATGTGTTTATTGCGTATTCCTCAGTAGAATTATTAGTTTTCCATTTGTTGAGATCTTGGGTCTAAATGTCTTGAGTTTTGTTTGGGGAAAGGATAATGAGAAGAATGTGACTATTTCTACTTCTAACTATACCAAAGCAAGGTACTGTTGCTGACCTATTGTCACGTCCCAAGTGCTGAGAAAGGGCCTGAGAAGACACTGTCAGTTGCTCACAGGTACGATCTTTGTGACTCATCTCAGTGACCAGCACCACTGTGGTTTTATCTGTTCTGTCAGTGTGGTTTGTGAACTGAAGGCTATTTTCTTCCCTCATTTGTCTATATGTCCAAGTAACTAATAGCTTATGAAAACAAAATAAAGTCAACGATAGCAAGCATTTATCAAATACTCATCCAGATCAGGAACTGTGTGAGTCACTGAATTCCTTACCGGCCCTGCGAAGTGGGGGTTAGCATCTCTATTTTGCAGAAGAGGAAAGCAGAGCTTAGAAGACTTGAAGCCATCATTCAAGGTCACAGAGCAGGTAAGGAGGGTGCTAGGGATGATGAGCAGTGTAACTCCAGCAAGGAAGAAGCCTTCAGGTTGTAGCACAAGGCATCTCTTGCCTGACAGGTTTAATTTGACATCTGTCTTTTATAAACTCTGTACCATCCCCCACCATTGGCCAGGGGGATCATTTTTCATCCAAACTTAAAAATACACCGAATCAGTTGAATTCATCTCTTAACCAAGAACATCTGAGAGATTCAACATTTAGGCTGCTTCCCCACGTGTTCTGATAAGAAATGTTTTCATGGATTGTGCTGGTTGGTTGTTTTTTGTGGTCAATGTGAGATAATCTAGAGTCACCCAAGAAGAGAGAGCCTCAACTGAAGAATTGCCTTGATTAGATTGACCTGTGGCTGTATCTGAGAGTGTCTTGACTGGTGATTGACATGGGATGGCTCAGCCCACTGTGGGCAGCCCCATCCCTAGGCAAGTGGGCCTAGACTATATAAAGAAGCTATCTGAGCATGAGGTAAACCAGAGAGAGAGAGAAAGAGAGAGCAAGCTGCCAATGAGCAGCACTCCATGATTACTGCTTCAGTTCCTTGTAGGCAGAATTTTTCTGTCCCAGCCACCTGATCTCAAATAGCCAACACAGAGACTTATGATTACTTACAAATGCTCAGCTGATAGCTCAGGCTTATTACTAGCTAACTTTTACTTTTAAATTAACCCATATTTCTATCTATCCTTTTCCTTAACAAGGTATCATGGATTGTTATCTTATTTTCTACACATCCTGCTTCCTTGGCAGCTGGCTGGCATCCTCTGACTCCACCTTCTTCCTCTTCCTCTTCCTCTTCCTCTTCCTCTTCCTCTTCCTCTTCCTCTTCCTCTTCTTCTTCTTCTTCTTCTTCTTCTTCTTCTTCTTCTTCTTCTTCTTCTTCTTCTTTCTTCTTCTTTCTCCTTCTTCTTTCTCCTCCTCCTCCTCCTCCTCCTTCTTCTTCCCAGAGTCCTCTATTTCTGGCTGTCCTGCCTATACTTCCTGCTGGTCTGTCAGTGTTTTATTAACCAATGAGAGTTATACATATTCACAGTGTGCAGAAGAATTATTCTATAGCAGTTTCTACCTGAGTTCTTGCCTTGACTTCCGTCAAAGATGGACTGTGATCTGTAAGAGTGTTGTGGCCGTATCGAGAGATCCCCTAGCAAGACCACCACAGAGCTGCTATCTGATGCAAAACACAAAGGGGTTTATTGATAACAAGCAAGCTCAGGCTTGGTCCGCATCCAACATCTGACACAGCGGGTGGAGGAGGATGGCCCTGAGCTCTCAGGGTGAGGGTCTTTTAAAGGGAAAAACCACAAGCAGTGTGGTCTAAGCCTTAGCATCATATGATTGGGTGATGGTATTAGAAAGCTGAATAATTTTGATGAAAAATTTTTCATAGGTTTATGTTAAAACAGATGTAATATTAAACTGACCCCAAACCCTAGGCCTTATACCCATAGATTAGTGCACTTTGTCCCTTCATCAGGAGGGCTTCTATTTGGCAGCAGATGGTGATTAATACAGAGATCTACAATGGGTCAACATACAGAGAATAAGAGACTGTGCAGTGTTCAGCCATAAATGGAACATCTGTATTGTACTCCTCTCTCCAAGGCTCAAGGATCATCTCAGAAGAGGGGCAGAATGATTGTAAGACCCAGAGGTAGTGTACAACTTGGGGGGGGGGGAGCCTGCCTCCACCTTTTAAAGGGTTCCTATAAGGAGGAGAGAGGGTTAAAAGTATTAGGTAGAAGGATAGGCCTAGTTGTTGAGAGGAGAGACAGAAACACAGGATAGCTTCGGGAGGACCTGGGTCAATACCCAATGTCCCAGAACTTTATTCAAAAAGGCTTTTTATAACAATGCCACGGGGTGAGGCAAAAGACCCCTCCCCTTCAAGATACAGCCAAGTGCAGACCCTTCCAAACACCTGGTACCCAGGCCAGTGGTCCAATCATCCTCTTATGCAGCTCTGCTGGTAAAGCAAGCTCAAATCTCACTAGGAAAGCTCTGTGGGCTCCCACAACTACAGTGAACCAGTGTTCCCTGGGTATAACAGGGCTGTTGAACACATGGACTCACAGTGCCTGTGATGGCATACATAAAGCCTACAGATGAGCAAGCCAGTTAGAATCCTAGCCTGGCTTGGAGAGGAGTTCACAAAGTCCTACCTCTAGCTGAAGAGCTCTTGGCAATTGACAGCTGCTGGGAAAGGCTAGTCGGTTTAGGCATCTTCAGGGATACCACTCCTGAGAAGTACCCATGCTCCAGTAGATGGATTTATACGCACATACGTACAGTCAGCACTAAGTGGATCTGCCAGATTTAAAAACAGAGGTTAGGAAAGGAGAGTAGGGGTGGGGCTAAAGGGGAGGGAATGGGGGATGAATTTGATTGAAACACATTAAACACACATGGAATTCTTAATTAAAAATATAGGGACCAGAAAAAGGGTTGTATGATTTGAGAAATATGTTGGCTATAAACACACACACACACACACACACACACACACACACACACACACACACACACACGATCAGATTACATCAGTTATGATGCTTCCATCAACTTTATTATCTCCAAAAAATGTACCATTTGTTTTGATGATGGCTAATTTTGCATCATCTTGTCTAGACTTTGCACCAAGGCTTTGGTCAAACACCTGTCTTTAACCTCAGGAGACTTTGGAGAATAATAGATCAGTTTCTGTAGCCTGTGTGGGCCTCGCCTCGTCCAGTAACCTGAAGCTCATGAGGAGGGAAAGAATTGGCTGACAACATCAACTCTTCCTTGGCCTTCAGCCGGTCTGGTTGCCAGGCAAGCTGATTCCAAACTTGCCAGCCCCCTACACCAGTTCCCTGGAGTAAATCTCTTTCTCCCCTCTTTTTCTTTTCCTTCTCTGACTCTATTTCACACTTACAGTTTTTCTTCTCTGAATAATGGCCAAAACAGACGTGATGGCTAATCTTGACCATCACTTTGACTGGATCTGGAACCAGTTAAACCCAGGCTGCTGGGCACTCACTCCTGGGAGGGATTTCCTAGAACAGATTACGGAAACAGGAAGACCTACCCCAAATCCTAAACTGGGGGCACCTTCTGGTGGCAGCCCAGACATGGAAGAAGGGAACTTCCTTCTTTTTTGGCTTGTTGCTGTGGCATTCCTTCATGAATATTTGAACCAGGTTCTTCGGGCTTCCCATATAGACTCAAGGGCAACAGCTCTCCAGGAAATCCTCAGGCCTTGGGCATCAGACTGGAACTGCTGAGAAATCCAGCCTCATGAGCTGAACAATTATTGGATTCTCCATCTCTCTAGTGGAGACAGCCATTTTTGGACTGCCAGGCCATACCATGTAAGCCAATATAATATCCCCCTTTATATATATATTAATATATATAGTATATATTAAAATTAAATGAATATATATATTTATTCTATCAGTCTGTTCCTGTAGAGAACCCTAACTCCTATAACAGCTATCAATCAAGAAGAAGATGTACAAAAGGAACATCAACTCACTTTCTATTGGGTTGCACTGTTCACACACTGTCTGTAACATTACAAATTATTCTCAAACTGGTATTTGCCAAAGTAAATGGAAAAAAATGAATTTTAGTGAATTTAGAAGCAGCAATTTCTTTGTGAAGATATTATTACTATTTCTCAACAAATGTGTCCCCTTAGTACCTGGCCATCATATTCCAGGGTAGATAGATTTCTAGGGAACCCTTGTCTCATGGTGATGAGAGACATTCTGATTAGAATGCCTTTATCAAAACAAAGCTTTTGATGAACAGTTGAAACACAAAGGTCTAGCCGTAGGCACCGGATTCTGAAGGAAACTGTCTTACCTATTGGTGGGCTGTGTACTTGTGTTTAGGGGCTCTCAGAAGGAAACCCACTGAACATAGGAAATTTCCAGTGGCCCTTCCCCAGTTAAGAGAGACAGGCATTAAGTGATGGGGCAGGTACGGTGAGTGAGTTCTAGGGCAGGGCTCCTAGGAGGAGAGGAAAAGGATATTAGTGTTTGTGGTATGGTGTGGGGCTTCCGCCAGCACTCAACTCATTCACATCCATAAGGTCAGGACTACTCTCATGCCCCATGTCACCAACTGGGGCCATAAATAGCATTATACCATCAAAGCATCCCAGAGCGAAGAGCAGGAATCTCACATCTCACCTTACCCGACCCATGGAATGTCCTCCAATGCCATAGTCTAGAAGTGTTAGGCTGTGTCCAAAGATTCATTTTAGTTATTCTCACTTTCTGGTGGAGATGCTACTGCTCTGACCTAGCAGCCAGCCAGGTGGTTTATTCTGCTGCTTCTACAGATAGCGATAGTGGCCAGTCTCAGAGCTGTCTGCAAATGAGTAACATCCCACTCAGTGCTCAGCCAAGTGTGGGATGGGGGCGGCTTGCAAGAGTGAGTCTCCCAGGGTTACCATGGCTTTTGTCTGTCTGTCAATTACTCAGACAATTCCTCATGGTGAAAGTTTATCTTTTTAGAAAATTGCTCATGGGTAACCAGTGACCAGAAAATCTTGGCGACATAAAACAGACATAATTATTTACCTCTCATACATCTATGGACTCACTGTGGATTGGCTGTTCTAGGCTTGGCTACAAGTTGACTTCAGGCCTGATTAACCTGTCTGTCTCCTGAAGTCAGTAAATTACCTCAGCTACAGTCTTCTCTTGCAGGAATCGATGTGGGCAAGCACATTCCAGCTTCTGCTAATGTTGCACTGGTATTGCAATTCACAGGGCTGAGCTTAGCAACAATAGCAACAGGGGAGGTATCTATTGCTCATCCAGTGGCAGGAAGCAAGTAGCAAAGCCCAAAAGCAGCAGATCATCTAGATGACTGTACACCATCTCTTCTTAATATCTGCCTTGGTGAAGGCTATCCCACAGTCTGATGGTTTTAGCGATAGTAATAGACAGTGTTTGGAATCATGGGCTATTTCTTGTAAGTGATCCTCTCTCCTCCTAACAAGAGTCATATGAAAACTCCTAGTGCCTTGTGGGTTCCAAGCTATGAATCACCAGCTGCAACTGCCTCCTGAGGTGAAATTCAGGTCTCGTGCAGGCAGAAATAGTGTGATAAAGGAATATAACTCAGAAGAGGTATGACCATGATAAATCTGAGCTCTCCACTTCTCTTGATTTGAACACAATCAAAATATCCATGCTTATTTTTTGCTGTTCAGTTGCCCAAAGTGTCACAGTGTGTTTGTATGTCTCTTAGTTAATACTGAGCGGATTAATTATAGAGGAATAAAAGTCACGGTGACTTAAATGTGTTAATCATCGGAACATTTGTCAGCTGTGATGTCTGATGCCCAATATAAAAGAATATAAATTGCATAACATTGTTATTTAACTGTGATTGAGTTAGAAGTTTAATTAGTACATTTGCATCCCGGGCTTGTCAAGAGTCTATCATTGGTTTAATGTAAAAGCAGAGAGATTGAGCGGGGTAGGGCACTATTTAGATGCATGACTACATGAATTCACTTTATTCGGCTAATTCTGAAGGCTGATGTTTGCTAGTAATGATTATGCCATTTGTACAAATCTTCTTCTGCCGCTTGGGAAAAAGTTGATAAGTAAATTGGAACATCATCAACCAGTAAGTTGATCTTGTATGATTCATTACTAATCCCACTTCCTCATAATTTGGAATGACTGGGCCCTTCCAACAGTGTGTGTTTCTACTGAGGAGGGTGCTGGGCATGGGAACAGTTGCACATGTTGCTTTCCTAACTTCCACACCACGTTTCAAAGGGCTTCCCCCTGTCCTTAGTCAGGTCAATGAATTACAGGGTAGCAAAATCTTAGCCCTGATATCAGAGCCTGAGATGTTTGTCTTCATGACACCAATTCTTCTGTCTGTGTTTTAAGTGTGATATTCAACCTTGCTAGTATTCAGTTTAGCCTGGCTTGTCTATGGAAGTATTTTAGAAAAGAAAAGTACTATACATGCATTTATTTTTTCTATCATTTTTCAATGCTGTTAACATCTACAGTTTCCCTTCAATTACCTGTTTAAATGATACATCATTTTTGCCTCTCTTATATTTAATGGTAACGTTAAAATGGGAAAGTCTGGGTATAGGTAGTAGTTTACTAATGTCAAAGCTTTTCCTTTTTGTACACTCCCTACTGATTTGTATTTAATACATGGCAATAGTTGATTTTTATTTCATTCTTGGATTATGTAATATGATGATATGAATACAACCTATCTTATGTCTAGTTTTGTGTGTGTGTGTGTGTGTGTGTGTGTGTGTGTGTGTGTGTGTGTACACACGCGTGCCAGAGGACAAGCTTTGGGGTCTTGGCTTATGATTCGACTAGGGCAATTGGACTGAGAACCCTAGAGATTTGTCTGCCTCTGCCTTCCCAGTGTTAGGGAATATTATTTTAAGGTTTGTTACTTTTGTTTATGTTGCATTTGTTGAACTCTGTGAGGCTGTGTTACTTTGCCTGTCTAAAATACCCGATGGTCTAATAAAGAGCTAAATGACCAATGTCAAGGCAGGAGAAAGGACAGGTAGGGCTGGAAGGCAGAGAGAAGATATAGAAGTAGAAATCTAGAAGGAGAAGAAAGAAGTGATCAGAGAAGGAGGAGGACTCCAGGGGCCAGCCACTCAGCTACACAGCAAGCCATGGAGTGAGAACCAAAGAAAGGTGTACAGGAATAGAGAAAGATAAAAACCCCAAGGCCAAAGATGGGTGGGATAATTTAAAGTTAAGAAAAGCTGACTAGCAATAAGCCAAGCTAAGGCCAAGTATTTATAATTAAGAATAAGCCTCCATGTGTGATTTATTTGGGAGCTGGGTGGCAGGCCCCGAAAAGAGAAAAACATCCAACAACAGAGGGTAAAGCATTTTTGTGTGTTTTCTGGGGACTCGGGTTCTTAAGTTCCGGAAACAAGTACTTCCTGACTGAGCTACCCTCATCTCTCAGTTTCATGACTTTGTGGAGGAGTACTGTGTATCAGACCACCTTTGCAGTTTCCATATTGAGTGGTTGATCTGTGGACAGGTTCAAATTCCTGAACCTTCTTGTTGCTTGAGAAGTGGCCTCGGTGCCATGGCGCCTCAACCCACCTGGTCAGGGGAAGCTCTAGGGCTGACAGCAGACTTCCCACAGTTTCATGCTACCTTCTTCCCAATAGTGATGCTTTCCAGAAATCAAACCTATTCCTGGTCTTTGTTTTCAAACCAAAGCCTGTGGTTAGGTTTCTGCTATGGCTTGGGAGTTATGTCTCCTAGAAACCCGAAGCCCTGCCTATGGGGCTAGGCCAAGTCACCTGTGAATCAACATACTAAGCACTGCTTCTTGACTCATCCACACATCTGAGAGTGCGAAGAGGTAGCACTAGGTTTTCTCTTAGCGGTGCAATGTTTTTGTGGAGGAAAATTCCTTGACAAACCACTTGGAGCAAAAAGAGGAGAAGGAAGAGGAGTGGGGGAAGGCAAAGAAGGAAGGGGGAGAGGTGGAAAGAAGAAGAGGAAGAAGGGGAGGAGGAGGAAGATACTGTCAGGGTTCTGAGACACGATCAGTGTAGGTAAACTGGTCTATACAGCAGAGTGGCACAGCATGGTGTAGAGCAGAGAATGAGAAAAAAAGAGCCACTGACCCAAAGACTACACAGGTCAGAAGTCCCAAGGGTGGGTGTGTTGTTCAAATCTTTGATGGTCTTTTAATAAAAAACCCAGAGCTTGATATTGGGGTGAAAGCTGAAGGATCAGAGAATCAAAACAATCAGCCACTAGTTCTTACCTCTACAAAATCCTCAGCCCAAAGAGAGTGAGTTTCTGTCTCCTCACGCCTTATATCTCTGTCTTGCCATATTACTTCCTGGGATTAAAGGTGTGTGTGCTTCCCAAGCAAAGGCATGAGATTCCAAGTGCTGGGGTTAAAGCTGTGTGCCACCAATGCCTGGCTCTATGTCTAATCTAGTGGCTGGCTCTGTCCTCAGATCCCCAGGCAAGTTTACTAGGTATACAATATATCACTACCCAGGTGGCTTTGTATTGTTTTACCATGCAGAAAAGTGGGATCCCCTCAAGTCTGATGAGTTTGCCACATGGGTAACTGCTTTTCACATGAGTTCAGTTTTAGTTTAGAAACCAAGGATGATCTCAGCTGTACAGACAGAAACAATAACACCATATGTGATCTTTAAGATAAAGCAGAAGTTTTCTCTAAGATAGCCCACTCAAGCCAGGTAATAGAAGAAAGCTTGACAAAAGGAGTGCTTTCAAAGACGTGGCCAGAGACGGGGGACCAATATGTAGAGGTGAAGGATCCTACAGCTGGTGGGAGCTGGTGGGTAGTGGGTCGTGGCTGCTACAACCGAGGGCCAGAGCAGGAGCCACAGGTTGATAGTCACCGGGAGAGGGCTGCTGTAGCTGGAAGTTTTCCTGCGTCCCACCTGGTCCCACGGCAGCTTGGTCCCAAGTAAACATGCAGAGGCTTATATTACTCACAAACTGTATGGCCTATGGGTCAGGCTTCTTGCTACCTAGCTCTTATAGCATAACTCAATCCATTTCTATTAGTCTGTATGTTGCCACGTGGCTGTGGCATTATCGGTCTGCAGGCATCTTGTTGCTCCTTGGGCGGCGGGCTGGCATCTCCCCTACTCTCCTTTCTTCTCCTCTCTCTCCAGTTCAAATGTACCATCTAACCTTATTCTGCCTCACCATTGGCCAAACAGCTTCATTTATCAACCAATCAGAGCAACACTTATTCACAACGTATAGAAAGGCATCCCCTAGCACTTCCCCTTTTCTGTCTAATCAAAAAGGAAGGTTTTAATTTTAACACAGTAAAATTATATATAACAAAACAGTTATCAAGCTAGAATTATAGTTACAATATCTAGTCTATTTGTATTTAGCAAAATCAAAGAAAGTATTCTATCATCTATCCTATTTTTGTGAGTCTAAAGTTTCATATCTAATTTACCTTTTGTCATGATTAAAAAAATTATAACTATATATTATATATATATGTATATATATATATATAATTATAACTATCTAGTCTTTAACTACATCAAAGGCCCCAGAAGGATATAATATTACCTGAGGAACCCCACTGTGTCATCTTCCCAGCCCACAGGCAGACATTGTAAAGTTGGTTCTCTTGATTTCTACTTGCCATTTGAATGAACTGTCATGTTCTTCTTGCGCAGCTGGTTTGCCCTGTGGTCAGCATTCAAGGAGATGGTTTCCTGTTCAGGAGAAATGTGTTGTTTGGATTTGTCAACCCAAATTTGATCTCTGGGCTTAATTATTGAAGTAGCACATTTCCCTCTGCATTTCCCCCTACAAAAATCCCATCCTAATGTTTTGTTGTTGTTGTTGTTTTGCAAACTGAACTCTGGTTGACTCACCTTGGCACCGCTCTGCAGAAGCACAGTGGATGTTTCACTCGAAGCTGTTCCAGCATCAGCTTGCAGAAGCAGAAAACCCCACATTTCAAAGACGGCACAAAGGTGAACCGATAGGTGCCTGCTTCCAACAGCAAAGCCATGCAAGGCGCTGGCCCATGGCTTGGACTTTGTAATATGGAAGAGCCCGACACACTGTAAGTGGTTATCGCTTTGTGGGGCTGCACAGTATTAATTTGCACGTTATTCTGCGATCACATGGCACACTTTACCTGTTCTGCGCATTGGGCATTTTTAGAAGGAGGGTAAGGTTAGAAGAAGCTGGGCTGCCTTTAACCCCAGGTTTGGAGCATGCTGTTATTGCTGCGATGTACTCTTTGGGGAGCCTGCTCTAGGAACAGAGGTGCGGATGACAAAGGAGTAGGCCTTTCCCTCCAGGAGCTTACAGGTGAGTGCCTGACACGCATGTGCTCAGTGCAGTGTGAAGTGTGGGGGAGGGGAAGATTGGAGGAAAGCGTCCCCAGGAAGTAAACATAGAGAAGAGACAGAAATCAGGCCACTGTCCAGAAGTCCAAATGGATACGGATAATAGGAATCAAGCACATGGGTAAGGATGGCGAGAACTTGGGAGGGAGAGGCAGGAGGATGACTGTGAGTTCAATGTTAACTTGGGTTGCAGTCCAAGACCCTGCCTTGACAAAGCAAAACAACAGAATAAAGACAAGAGAGTAGTCTTGCAGAGATAGAGAGATAGCACCTTGTCTGCCATGGTGTTCTTTAGCTCCTCATCCAAGGTCATTTGACAGGAAATGGTTGCCCTTGGACTTGGGTCAGGCAGGACTGGGTAGGTGTTCTTACCTGTCTAGATCTTTGTTTTGTCTCCTGTGATAGGAGGCAGTTGCTGTATGGTTTCATGCCCCATCTTATTCCTACTTTGGAATGCCCTAGCTCATCCCCCTCCTCTTCTAGAAGGTACATGAAGTCATGATGACATGCCATCCACCATCCATCTGCAAAGTCCTCAAGGTCATGTCACCACTAGTCACGCCCAACCACATGCTGAAAATTTGAAGTCACTTCTGGCTTCGGTATAGACTTATTTCAAGGTTTTCAACTTTCAATTTCCTATTAATCAAACAAGAAAAAAAATCTACCTAAAATTGCATTAAAAAAATCCCAGGACCCCAAATCTGTGGCCATCTCTCATTCCATCTGCTTTATATTTTTACATGCTGGGTATAAGTATTACATCGAGAGGTCGAATCACTTCTCAGCGAGAATCAAAAGGTGCTCTGGTTAAATTGGGAAGGGCTTGGGAGGGAAGAAGAAAAACCTTTGCCAGATTCAAAAAAGAATGATTTCTCAAATAGAGTCTATAAGATGAACTGTGAGCCTGTAAAATAACTGTAGGTTTATAGGATCTCTTACAGGCCTATAGGACAACATGTTGGCTATAGGATCTCTCCCCATTCTGGAAGTCAAGGAATGTTGTAGTGACTACTGTGTGCTAGATACTCTAAACATCATCTTGTGTTTGCAGCAGCTGTATCCTGGCTGTGGTGGAATGCACCTGAAATCCCAGAATTCAGGGGGCTATGTGATGAGACCATGTTTCAAAATATAAGCAAACAAAAACAAACATTAGAGTCTTTTCATCTTTAGTTTTTTGCATCATTCATTTAGTGTGTGTGTGTGTGTGTGTGTGTGTGTGTGTGTGTGTGTGTGTATTTGAGTGTGCACTGCACACATACCAAGGTACATGTGTGGAGGTCGGAGAAGCCAGCTCTTTGCTTCTACCGTGTGGGCCCAGGATGTTGACCTCAGGTCATCAGCCTTGGCTTCGAGTATTCCTACCTTCGGAGACATCTCACTGGCTCACCAATGTTTCCATTGTAAGTTCCCTTCAGGTGACTCCTTTCTAGGATACACGTGAATCCACAAGTGTGTGCTGAAGTCAGGGGAAAGTGGCGGCTTCTTGTCTTATCAACATCCCTCAATGAATGAGGAGGTCAGCCTCCTTTCTTTAGTGACTTAGAGTAATGACACTGGCGAGTCTCCCTCCAATTGGTCTCTGCTACCTAATGAAGAGACAGAATGTGTGTGTGTGAGAGAGAGAGAGAGGGGGGGAGAGGGAGAGAGGAGAGAGAAGTGAGAGAGGAGAGAGGAGAGAGAGAGAGAGAGAGAGAGAGAGAGAGAGAGAGAGAGAGAGAGAGAGAATCTGTTTCCTACTTAAACATTTAAACAGCCCTGGGTTTATCTCTGCAGCTCACCCCAAGCAGCAGCGGCGGCTCACTCACCAGCCTCTTTCCCCTCCTCTAAGGAGGGACAGGGCTATAGGCCTGTGAGCATCCCAAGAAGCATCTGGGCCATTCAGGAAGCATGTAATGGGATTTTTAAGTAGGTCTGTGCAGAGAGAATAGATGTCTTTAGAACTTAGCTGTTGACGTTCCGGTTGTGAGAGCCGAACAATTGATCTCTTCCCTCCTGGATGCCCGGCTGTAAGCTCTCCTCTGCTAATACGGAACTTTTCCTTCGGCTGGCACTAACCCATTACCGCACGTATAGGGCGTCAGTGACCCTCAAAATGCCAAGGGCCGCCTGGCAGAGACTAGAGGAGGAAATCTAAAGGTCCCAGAGAAAAATTAGTAACATTTCTATGTGTGATCAATGTGCTCGCCTAAAAATAAATAAACAAATGCTTTTATAATACCATAAAAAATAGATTTAACCAAGAAAAGGTAAAGGATCTGTAGACTGAAAACTCATGAAAAACCTGAAGAAGACATAAACAAATGCAAAGGTACTTCCTGTTTATGAATGGGAAGAATTAGTGTTGTTGATTGTCACCTTGACAGGCTCTAGAGTCACTTAGGGGTGTCTTTTGAGGGAGTTGGAAAGAAGCCCTACACTGGGTGTGAACAACACTGTGCCGTGGACTGGGGTCCCGGTCTGAATAAAAAGTAGAAGGCGAGCTCATTTCTCTGTTTCCTGACTGTGACTGCCATGTGACTCACTGCCTCAGGCTTCTGCTTCCATGACAGACTATCTCCAAACTGTGAGCCAAGATAAACCCTTCCCTCCTTAGGTCCCATGTATCAGATATTTTCCCATAGAAATGAGAAAAGTAGCTCATGTACTGTCCACGGCAATCTATAGGTCCAATGCAGTTTCCATTAAGATTCCAATGGCTTTTTTTTTTTTACAGACCAAGAAAAACAAAATCCAACCCTGAATGGCCAAAGTGATCTTGAGCAAAAAGAACAGAGCTGCAGTGATCTAGATACCTATATCTCAAGGTCTGTTGCAAAGCTGTAGGCATCAAAACAGTATCACACTGGCATAAACACGGACACATTAATCTCAACCTGTGGGCTACGACCCTTGGGGTGGGTCACATCTCAGATAGCCTGCATATCCGATATTTACATCATGATTCATAACAGTAGCAAAATTACAGTTATAAAGTAGAAATGAACTAATTTAATGTTTGGGGGGGGTCACTACAACACGAGGAGCAGTATTAAAGGGTCACAACATCATAAAGGTTGAGAACCACTGCACTAATCCATGAAAGCCCGAAGTTAAGACTACGCATTTTGATTGTGACCGAGGTATTAGCAACACACTATGAGAAAAAGGAGAGTTTTTCAATCAATGGGGCTGGGGCAAGAGGATATTCCTATGCAGAATGAAGTTGGACTCATGTCTCACCATGTACAAAAACCAACCCCCAAAGGATTAAAGACTTAAGCACAAAATTGGAGACTACAAAATTACTAGAAGGAAACATGGAGGGAAATGCCACAGTACTAATAATATAGGCAATGGCTTTTTGACATGAAGAGCATGATAGCACAGACCCTCTTCTGACCTCCTTGGGCACCAGGCATGCACATAGTGCACACACATACATACAGGCAGGCAAAACACTCATACACACAAAATAGAATAAACAAATATTTAAAAATTTTAAAGAAAGTCTACTATGAAAATTCTTTAAAAGTCACTGAAAGGGAACCTTTGTTCATCCTTGGATCGTGAGGATCTCAACAGCCTGTACCCCAGTAATGGATGGCATTCTTCTGACATTTCTGTGTAACTCTGAAATCTAAGGACTAGGGAGAGGGTTCCCAGGGGATAACTAGGGTTTCTGGGGTTTGTGGGCTCTGCACCCATGAGGTGGCTTTTTTAATCCCTCCAGTTCCTGATCGCTCTTCTCTTTCTTCTTGAGCAGTGAAGCCCGTAAAACCATCTGTCCACAGCGGAAATACAAACACGTCCCTGGAAGGATACCTATGGCCCTCTGGCTATCCATATTTAGGGGTTCCCTCCTTGGGTTGCTGCCTGTGCTGGGAGATCAGTAACAACCAGTGCCTTGTGTAAGGCTACACCATCATTAAAGGGCACCCAAGCGAACAGAAGGGAGCTCTGAAGAGAATAAGGAGATGCTTCTTTTTATTTATTTACATTTCGTACATGAGTACAGTGTGTGGACATCATTTCATAGGCCCCCTTTCTCTGCCCTCCAACCCCTCCCTTCCTGTCCATTCTCCCTTGGGTTCATGACCTCTTCTTTGATAATTATTATTGTTACACACAGACACACACGCACACACACACACACACACACACAACCTACTGTGTCCATTTAGTGTTGCTTGTATGTATGTGTATTCAGGGCTGACCACTCGGAATTGCAAATGGTTGCCTAAACAAGACTTATGTAATGGCCACTCCAGCTACAGGGCCATCCCTGCGAAGAGCTCTGGGCTGTGAACAGCTGCTGGATCTGCCGTGTGTGGAAAGCAGCATTGCTTCTAAAGAAGAAATGCCTTGGAAGGAAGGAGGAGGGCTTGGACTGTCTGCAGAGCTTACGAGGACACATCAGTGCTGAGGAGGGTCCCCTCCCCTGTGCTGTCATAACAGTGTCCAGACAGGCATCTCTAGAGTCCTCCAGGAAGCATGTCAGTCCTATTGCCTGAGTTCGTGTGTATAATACACTGGAAATAGATCTATGTGCTAATTTCCTCCCCCCCACCCCGCCCCCACCCCCAGGCTCTCTTTTGGCTTTGTTCTAATCCAAGAAAAGGGAAGCAGACAGTCTCTTCCTGGTCTGCTGCTCTGTGTATGCAGCTGAGGACTCACCTCTTGTGGTACCCAAGATGTTCTGGGCTCCTCCCCGCCCCGGCACTTTTCACAAAGCCACTCTTGACCGGCCATCTTCCTCTGCATTGTGAAACTGATCTTCAGGCCCAAGGGCTGGGCCAAACCTGTATCTAAACTAAACGTCTTGTTACATTCAGCTCTTCATTCCTATCTATCAAGATCAGTTAAGAGTGTGATTCTGTCTTAAGAAGAGTAGCTGTAATTCCATTTTCATCAGTGTCAGAGTTCTGAACCTTCTCCTACCCTACTGTCTGAGGGGAATGATTCTCCCCCACCCACACTGATGCCTGATTGCTGAGGCCATGTTGTGAGGAGCAGAAAGATTCTTCAGTGAGTGTATCGCTACTTCATTGTAGTCTGGCTTCTATCTACTGATCATTTGGAGAGAGAGAGAGAGAGAGAGAGAGAGAGAGAGAGAGAGAGAGAGAGAGAGAGAGAGAGAGAGAGAGAGAGAGAGTGTGTTCATCTGGTAACTGATATGTGCTACAACACTATTAAGACCTTAAGTTAAATTCTTGCAAAGAATCCCTTAAGACAACCCCCCACCCCACCCTGTGCGCCCCTGACACACACACACACACACACCACTAACCTGCTCCTGAGGTCTTTCATGCAAAAGTCAAAATTCAGCATTTCTAAGGGCTTTTGAAATTTAGACTTCACAATACAGGAAGATATACACATTTGGAAAAGTGCCTGGCCCTCCTCAGAACACTGGGTGTTACAGCAGTGAGCTCTCACCCACAACCAAAGCAACATGTGCAGGTAATTACATAATCTCAACACACTATAATAGATTTTCCTATTACAGGCGTTATACCTTAGATATGCATTTTCTCCAGACATTTTCTAGCTGGCTTTATTACCTCGATTTCTTTTAGTCAATTATACGTTAGTCTTTTTCATTTCCTTTGAAAAGTCAATAAAAACATAATTACAAAGAGAGAAGAAGTCCTGTTGGAAAAGGCTATCACCCATTTCATTGTCTGGGTTGTTGAAGAAATGTTTATCTGTGGACCGGGAATTTCCTATTTGCATTGGCTCTGCCTTTGTGTATCTAGCCACTGTGACACAAAATCCCTTTCCTGAGCCGGTGGGCTTCAGAGGCCTCTGAAATGAAGGCCATGTGGCAGATGTGGAACAGGTGGCCTACACGGCTGGAAATTAACCCTTTTTAGTCCCCTCCACCCCCCTCTTTCTCTCCTCCCTCTTCCCTCTGCAACGGAGGCAGCAACATTGCTCTTACACAGATGAAAAAAATGGATTTTAGATGAGATTCAGTATTTCTAAAGTATGCCGTGGAGCTCTTAGAAAAGAAAAACAAGTAAAGGAAGCCCAGGAACAGGCCTGTTAACAAGTGAGTACTTCCGCATGAGCGGCTACTCCAAAAGTATCAGCTGGCCGGCAGGCTGAGGAGTAGCAGTGGGTGGAGGATGTGTGTGATCGTGAATGTCCTCAAGGAATCCAGTTATGAAAATCATTTTATGCAATATGGTAGGTTTTCTGTTTATAAAGATGACTGACGCATGTTTTTGTGAGCAATTTGTAAAATATACAAAATGTAGGAGAGTAAAACTGAATCACCCATGTGCTACCACCCAAAGGTAATCACCGTTAATGTGTGGTCTAGATATATTTTTTTTAAAACATGGGTTTGCTTTTCAAAATTATCATTAAACTATGTGCATTGAAACATAGTTTTTCTCCTTGAGTCAGGCTGGGATGTAGTTCAGCAGTCGAACCCTTGACTAGCACGTGTAAGACCCTAGATTTAATCCCCAGTATTGAAAAAGAAAAATGACTGAAGTTGTTTAACATTATTTAAAATTATCTTATGGGTATAAAGTAGTCCATCATCAGAACACAAATCAATTAATTTAACAGATTCTTACTGGAATCATAGTGATTGAAGTTTTTAGGTATTACAGTAGCACTGCACATGGAGCTCTCTTGGTACACACATTTTTGTGTACATCTTTTTTTTACTAGGAGAATTTCCTAGACGTTTGCTTCGTAGGCTAAGAGACATGTAGATGGCTCCTAACTTACTGCAGTTTGGTTTCAGTTTTAGACTTTATGGTGGTTCAGAAACAATATGTGTTCAGTTCCAAGTGCACTTCTGAATTCTGAGTTTTGATTGTTCTCTGGGCTGGTGACTGTGTCATGGTTATCTTGCTGTTCTGGGTGGCGGCAGCAAGCTCAGTTCTGGGTCAGCCCATGCTGTCAAATACGAATGGCTGAGGCTGCAGTGTGGCCGAGCCTCGAGGTACTGCTGGTCAAGTGTCTTAGACGAATTCTTGATTTGCAATATTTTTCAGTGTACTGTGAGTTTATCATGACTCAGAAGTCAGCTTCGTGGCTAGTAGGGAATGATCTGTACTTTGAGTATTTTTAAAAGTAAAAGTGACCAAATTCTGTCAAAAACAAAAACAATAAAACCAGCTGTAGGAATTTACAAACACATCAGCAGTGAATGAAGTTGCCCAGGTATTTTGTCTACAACCTGGGAAATTAGTCAATGCCCCCACGAGTCAGTCATTCCCTAATATCCCACCATTTTGATAGTTTAAAATGATACTGGAGGGATGGCTCAGTGGTTAAGAGCACTTGTTATTCTTCTAGAGGATCTGGGTTCGATTCTTAGCACTGGTAGTGGCTCATAACCATCATATAACTCCAGTTGTAGGTAATCTGACACCATCTTCTGGCATCAAATGTGATGCACATCCTTCCATGCAGGCAAAACACCTTTTTGAAAAAGTACCCTGGTGGGGCCTGGTGGTGCATATCTTTAATCCCAGCTTTCAGAAAACAAAGGCAGGCTGGCCTCTGTGAGCTTGAGGCCAATATGATCTTTATAGAAAGTTCCAGGCCAGCCAGGACTGTATAGTTTGACCCTCTCTCAAAAACAGCAACAACAACAACAACAACAACAACAAAACAGCCTTGCATTTTTTGTTTCTTTCATTATTGGAGAAGTTGAACATGGTTCCTTGTGTATCAGTAATTTCTATCTTTCATGTTTGTAA